GAGTGCTCTTGATGTGGAGAGTATCTCTTTAGCGTCTGCTTTGAAAACAGCTTATTGATTTCGCTGGAAACAGTTGCTGTGTATGTCACCGTTGTGTGTAGTTGACTGACTCAGTTGGTTTCCTGTGAACACTGGGGCAAGATGGGTAAGAATGGTAGAGGAAGAGTAAGGATAAGTGAAATCTGGTGAGTTGGGTAGAGCAATGATGAGAGATTGAATGAAAAGGTTGGAAAGGTAGAGGAAAGAGGCAAGGGGTGAAGTGAAAGGAGGTGGATGTGATGGGTTACAAGCCTACACAACAGAGATTGCTGTGTAAAGTAAGATAAATTAGATCAATAATTTTGGATACAGAAAGATAACGACAGGATAGAAAGGGGGATAAGAAAGGAAGGAAGATAAAGAAGGAAGGAAAGTAAAGAAGCAAGGATCGAAGAGAAGGAATGTAAAGAAGGAAGAAACAAAGAGAAGGAAGGAAGGTAAAGAAGGAAGGATGGAAGAGTAGGAAGGAAGGTAAAGAAGGAAATATAGAAGAGAAAGAAAGAAGGTAAAAAGAAAGGTTGGAAGAGAAGGAAGAAAGGTAAAGAAAGAAGGTAAAAAGGAAGGATGGAAGAGTAGGAAGGAAGGTAAAGAAAGAAGGATGGAAATGAAAGAAGGTAAAGAAGGAAAGATCAAAGAGGAAGAAGTTAAAGAAGGAAGGATGGAAGAGAAAGAAGGAAAGTAAAGAAGGAAGAACGGAAGAGAAGGAAAGAAGGTAAAGAACGAAGATGTAGAAACATTCTGCCTCCCCTGGACAAAAAGGAAATAAGTGTTAAAGAAAAGAATAAGAAGAATTGGAATTATGAAAACAGGACGAGAAATAAAGAAAAAAAAAAGGGAGGAAGAATAAAAGATGGACAGAGAAAAAGAACATAAAAAATGAACGAATGAAAAAATGTTTCAAAAAGATATAAGATCCATTCAAGACTAAAAGAAAGCTAGATCAATGAGGAAAATTAAATAAAAACAAAATGGAGAGTATGAAAAAAAATAGAATAAGTGAATGAATGAATGAAATAACTTAAAAAGACACAAAAAAAAGAGAAAGGAAAACGGAAAATGGATAAAAAAGAAAATGGTTGAATAAAGAAACCCAATGAATAAATCAGCAAAGAATGATGAAAGGAATGTAAGTCAAAAATAAGAAAAGTAAGCAAAAAAAAAAAAAAAAAAGAAAAGAAAGAATCTTAAATGAAAAAGTAAAAAACGAAAGGAAAGAAGGACAATGACAAAAATATATAAACAAAGAAAGAAATAAAACATGAAGAAAGAAAGAAAGGAATAAAAACATGAAGAAAGAAAGAAAGGAATAAAAACATGAAGAAAGAAAGAAAGAAAGAAATGGACTCCAAAATGAATAATGAAGCTCGATAGAATGATAAAAGAAACATATGAGAAGGAAAAGATATGAAAAAGTAAAGAGGATGAAGGAAAAGAGAATGAATAAATGAATGATTCAAATAACAACTTTAGAGACAAAGAAACATTGAAAAGAAAGAAAAACTAAGATACATAAAAAAGGGTGAAGAAAATGAAACATGAAGAAAAAAGGTAAGAAAGAAAGGCTGAATGAAATAAAGAATCAATGATGTCAATGCTGTAAGGATGTAAACAGAAAATTCAAAAGGTAGAAAAGATTAGCAAAAGAAAATCACAAAACTGAACGAATAAAAAAACTGAAAGAAATATGGCTGGAATGCGGGGATGAATGAATTCAATAAACATTCACACACTATATAAGACGAAAAGACATTATATATAAAAAGAAGGCAAAGATAAAAATGTATTGCACCGATAAAGAAATAAAGAAAGAAATAAAGACATGAAGAAAGAAAAAAAGAAAGATCAATGAAAAAGAAAGAACGAATCTTACGTGAAAAAAAACTGAAAAAAAAACATACACACACACACGAGAGGAAGGCATAAAAAATACCAAGAAAGACAAAGAGTGAACGAATAAAGAAATAACGATAAAAAAAGAAAAGAAAAAATATAAAAGAAATGTACAAGAAAAGATAGTGAAGAATAGTGAAAGAAACACAAATTAAAAAAATAAGAAAGAAAGAAATTAAAAAGAAAATAAAAGTGGATAAGAAAAGAAAAACGAGAGACGGCGGAAAATAAAACCTAAAAAAGATAATGAATGGATGAAAGAATTAAGTTACATAAACATGTGAGAAGAAGAAAGAAAAAGGATTAAGAAAAGGTAGTGAAGAAAAATAAAAGGAATAGAAACTAAAAGAAAGAAAATTAAAATAAAAGAAAGAAAATAAAAAGAAAAGAAAGAAATTAAAATTTTGCTCGTTCAATCGACGGAAAGACGGACAGGAAGTACTAGCAACAAAACAACTAAGGAAATTGAAAAAAGAAAGAATTTAAAAAAGGAAGCATAAAAATAAATAGAGAGAGAGAGAGAGAGAGAGAGAGAGAGAGAGAGAGAGAGAGAGAGAGAGAGAGAGAACATAAATTCACAAGTTCGGTCGAAAAAAAGACGGAAAAGAAGTAAGAACAACTAGGGAAATTGAAAAGAAAGAAAGAAAGAAAGAAAGGAAGGAAGGAAAGAAAGAAAGAAAGAAAAGAAAAGAAAAATGCACAAGTTTGATCGACGGAAAGACAGAGAAAGTAAGAGCAACGAAACAACCAAGGAAATCAAAAACAAAGAAAAAGAATGGATGAAAGAAAGAAAAAAGAAAGAAAGAAAGAAAAAGAAAGAGAAAAAAAGAAAGAAAGAAAGAATGGATGAAAGAAAGAAAGAAAGAAAGAAAGAAAAAAAGAAAAAGAAAGAATGGATGAAAGAAAAAAAGAAAGGAAATTATTTGAAAATGATATTAATAAGCAAGGCAAAACGAAAGAACAAAACAAAAAATAATGTAGGATTTCCATTGACTATATATTGGTAGCGACAGTCTTAACAAGGTCAACAATCGTTTACTTTGTTCAGTGAAATGCTTTCTCGTAATCCTCTATTAGAAAGGACTTATTTGGTGTTAATCTGTAACCCATCTTGGAAATTAGTAAAGGTTTTCTCTTGTAATTGCAGAGAGATAAACGGATGAAAAATATATAGAAAGGACTCAAGGTTGTTCATCTAACGTGGAATATTGCTTACAGTCATTTTAGTGGCATTTTTTCACTCTCTCTCTCACATACCTAATGATAGTTATCAGTTACGCAGATGATACAGTAAATAGGAAAGAATTCACTATGGCAATACAATTTTAAATCCCTATCAGTATCTGTTAAACGAAAGTAGCATCTAGCATCTCTCACTCACCAGGATCTGATGGTATCTTGGAACAAGAGATTTCAGCCGAAAGCATTAGTGTCAAAGACGATGACGGAGGAAAAAAAAGTTTTTTTTTTTTTCATCATTTCACTCCAAGCAAGGCAGTAAAGCCACTAAGCCGCAAGGATTACTGAGTGACGGAATATGAGAAAAAAATTAATGAGAGAAAAATTTAATGAGAGAAAAAATGAGAGAAAAAGAAAATGAATTAAGACGATAGAAAATAACATTAACATTCAGTATCTGTCTATATTTCTGAGATGAGGTATTATGTACACTATTTACATTATTCGGACTATTGTCCTCATCTTTGTCGCCATGTTTATCACAACGTTTCGGCCGTTGTACGCTCCGGCCTTTCTCAGGTAGTTGGAATGTTGAACTGAACCCTTTATTTCGCTCACTGGGGTAGACTGTTCTAGTTCCACGTGCCATGTCAAATGGATGTCAGTTATCTCCTGTTAATTTCCCTCTGAAAGTTCTCCACTGCTTCAAGGACACATGGCATAGTGGATAACGGCGTTAGTTAGATCCAGTGACAAGACTCAAAGAGTGTGAGTTCAATACCTGGTTAAGGCAGTGGAGAACTTTGTAGCTTTCTGGTGTTCTTGAAGCCTTACCTTAAGGGGGCGGCCTGTTTCCCCTTTATTTTGCTTTCCACAGCTCCACGGGATAGCGTACACACAGTCTTTAGTCATGTTCTCCTCTATGGGGTATCCTACTCGGGAGAGATATCTGCGAAGTGTCGTCCAGCTTTTGAAGGTTGTCCTGATGTTATATGGACTGCAGATCCTTTGTATTTTCTCTGATAACCCCTTCACATAAGTTAGGCAGACTGTTTTCTGAGTGTTGTTGTCCTCCTCTTGTACCCGCCTATCCCAGTTTTTTGGATCTGCTGCCATGTATCCAGTGTAGGTGTTTCGTTGTAGGGTACTAATTATACTGACCAATTCTTTATCTAATGTCTCTGTGTCGGCACTTATGACTTTTGCTCGGTGTTGTTAGCAGTGGACGACCCCTTTCTTTACGCTGTATGGATGGTGGGAGTTGAAATTGAGGAACTGTCCAGTGAATGTCGGTTTACGGTATACGGATGTCTTGAACCCATGCTCTGTTCGAGATATTAGAACATCCAGGAATGGGAGTGTGTTGTAACTCTTTTTCTCCATCGTGAACTTTATCGAAGGTCTTATTGAGTTCACATTGTCCAGTAGAACCTGAACATCTTCCTGGTAAGAATTCACAAGCATGCAGGCTAATGACCATTCCCTGGTAGTTTAATTTCGTGACACTTTGTTCTTCGTTTCTAAGTCAGATTTGAGGTTTCAAACTTTAAGTCGGATTTCATTCAGCAAATTACGAAATGCTAGCGAGATACTCGTCTCCTTTTCTCTCTCTCTCTCCCTCTCTCTCTCTGTCGTTATATAGAGACATTCAATTTTGCACTTTGCAATTTCATCAGGTCACTCTGCTCAATTTATCTAATAGTTTTTGTTTCAATTGCTGCTCTCTCTCTGTCTTCGCTTCTCGCTTCACTCTCTTGTGATTTCTGCATGGCTCCAAAAACCGGGTTGAGGTTGCTTTATTCTGGGATGACTTCGAATCTCCTGTAATCAATGAAATCTCTCCACGGGTACTGTTGGGTGGCCATTGTATGTTCAACTATGGAGAACTCCCCATTCAGGAGTGGCGGTAGCATCTCGTCGATCCGCTATCTTTTCTCCCTCTTCTTCTGATCCCACCTCACACCAGTATCTTTTAGTTGGGGGATTCATTTTCTTCCCATTTCCTCATACCAGCTTCTCACGCTGCCACCATCTATGGAACAGATGCTCTACCCGAGCCGTTGGTGCCTGATGCAAAACAGGGGTTATTTTTAATGTCACCGTAAAATTATTATCTGCATTTCTAATTATCACATTTGGTCCGTAAATCTTCCTCTCTTTTCCACTTGACCGAAATTTTCGGGCATGATAAAATCTTCTTTTAGCGACACGCACATCCTCCACCCCCTATCAACAAGTGAAATAGAATCATTTCTTTGCCCTTTTCTTACCCACCTGTAGCCATATTATTATTATCTGTAACTAGCTTGTGGGTCTCTGTCTAAAATCTCACTCTCGTCACCTCGTCGCATGCCTTCATTTTAATCAGATGCTAAAGTGGATTTCAGCATTCTCTTCTAGCGAGGTCCTTATTCACAAAATGAGAAAAAAATTAAAAGTAATTTTCTTTTGTTTTGTCCTTCAATCTATCTACTACCTTATTGGTCTTTGTGTTCACTTTCAATCTAAGCCTTTTTCTTTTTTCAAATTATCAGCATTGTTACAGTGTCATATTTTTAATCCACATTATACTCTTTTTTACTCTTTTCTTTACTCTCTCTTTACTCTTTTTTAACTTTTTTCTTTCCTTTTTACTCTTTTTTACTATCTTTTTACTCGCTTGTACTTTGTTTTACTGATTTTTAGTCAATTTTAATCTTTTTCACACTTTAAATTTTTTATAGTTTTAATTTTAAACTTTTCTTTATTCGTTTTCTTTAGCTTTTGTCAGTTGTTCTTGTTTCGATTTTAACTGATTTTACTGTTTTCTACAGTTTTTACGCTTTTTTACCTTTTTTCCTTTTTTAATCTTTTTTGCTCTTTTTTGTTGTTTGTTACGCTTTTTACTCTTTCTTGCATTTTAAAAACTCTTCTAATCTTTTTTTTTTACAATTTTAAACTATTTTTACACATTTTCTCCTTTTTAATACTCGTTTTGCACAATTTTGTATTTTTCTTACACTTCTTACACATTATTATTCATTTTTACTCTTTTAACTCATGTTCTACATTCTTACTCTATTTTTCAACTCTTTGTTTGAACTCTTTTTACTCTTTTTGAAAAGTTTTCTCGTGTTTTACTGATTTTTTGCACCTTTTTACATTTTTACTCTTTTTTACTCTTTTAACCTCTTTTTTACTCTTTTTTACGCTTCTTAACTTTTCTACTCTTTTACTACACTTTTTTACTCCTTACTAATTTTTTTACTCTTTGTTTCCACTTTCATGTTAATCTTTTTTAACACTTTTCTTACTTGCTTTTTTACACTTTGTTTACTCTCTTTTAAATCTTTCTTACACTTCTTTACTCTTTTATTAAAATCTTTTTATCTCAATTTGCTCTTTTAAAATTCTTTTTACACATTTTTAATGTTAACTCTTTCTACCATATTTTACGATTTTCTGAACTCTTTTTAAACTCATTTATAACACTTTTTAAAACTAGTTTTTAACTCTTTTTTATTCTGTTTTACTCTGCATTTTACTATTTTTTACTCTTTTTTACACTTTTATTTACTATTTTTTAAATACTGTTTTTACTGTCTTTTTACTGTTTTTTGACAATTTTTGTACTTTTTCACTTTATTTTTGCATTTTTACTCTTTTATACTCTTTTTAGTATTTTTTAAACATTTTAAACCATTTTTATTCTTTTACTGTTTTTTACTCTTTATTAAGTTTCTTTAAACACTTTTTTACTCTTTGCTTACACTTTTTAGCTTTTTTCACTCTTTTTGTACTCTTTTCTATATTCTTTATTCTTTTTTTATACAATTTTACTCTTTTTTAACAACTTTTACCCTTTTTGCTCTTTTTTATTCCTTTTAAACACTTTTTTTACACTTTTTATTCTTTTTTTATTCTTGTTTTTCACATTTTTACTCAAGTTTTACTTTTTTCTCCTTTTCTCTTTTTGTCCTTTGATACTTTGTTTTTTACTTTTTAACTCCGTTTTTACTTCTTTTTACTCATTTGTACGCTTTTTCATACGGTTTTTACGCTTTTGTTTACACTTCATTTACTCTGTTTTTAAACATTTTTGGACATTTTTTTACACTATTTTACATTTTTATTTAAACATTTTTACCTCTTTTTTATTGTTTTACTCTCTGTTTACACTTTATTAAAATCTTTTTTAATTTCCTACTCTTTTTCAAAGAATTTAAGTCTAATTACACATTTTTACATATTTTTAACTGTTTTTTTACTCTTTTTAGCTCTTCTTTTAACTCATTTTAACATATTTTACTCTTTTTTTTAACTCTCTATAAAATTTTATTTTACTCTTTTTTAAATCATTTTTACGCGTGTTTTTAGGTTTTTTAGCTCTTTTGTTTACTCATTTTACTCTTT